CAGTCGGGGCAAAGTAATACGACATTAAGCCCTCATTTCATTTTCCTATTACAAAAATGACCTTGGAGCCATATTATTTCCGATAGCTGCGGCGTTTCTGAAGACCACGAGAAAACCACAGACAGTGTCTCTTCCGACTATTCTTCCTCAAAATCAAGGGATCGTTTACGTGCACACCAATATAGCCACTCGCCCTTGCCAGGCATTCGTTTACTCTGGGTATTTTCGAAACCCATAGGCTTGATGTCCAGTAATGAGACAGAGTTACCTAGTTTCATTTTTCTGGAAGGGTAGGATCTTAAACCCCATTTCATTTTTTACAAGAACATCCGATACCAATTAAGGAGATAGAGAGAGAACAATAAAGTTAGGATTAATGGAATTTACTTGTGGAATCAATAATCGATAAGTTGATTTTCGATAATACAAATTGATTTTGGATCTTATGTACGATAAACTGAACCTGTTAAGTCAGTCCGCGATAGAGAAAAATTTCGAAAAGCGTAAACTTTAAAGTGCATTTGGAAAAATTAGATCTTTTAGCGAAGAATATAAATTTTCAAATCTCTGGGTAAGGTATGATGTAGCTACCAAAACAATGTTTTGTTACAAATTCATTCACTGGTTGTAGTGCACCAAAAAAGCTTTCAAACAAAATGGCCTTTGCAAAGCAGACAAGAATTTTGTAAATTGTAACATCGTAATTTTATGTATTTATATTGAAAATAAAAATGTAATAAAATTACTGAACAAACCTAATAGATATTTTTATTATTATTATTTTTTTTTTTTTTTGCGGAAAAATTATATTGTTAATAAATTAAAATGAAAAATGGAAGCCGGAGTGAGCACTGCTGTTGACAATAATAATACAGTACACCAGCCATTGATTTTATCATTCGGTATTGTTTTATATTTTCACTGTCATAAATAAAGTAATTTAAAACAAAGCAAGATAGACGTTTGTCATGCAACTCGCACTCCAGACGGTCCATGTTTTAACTTTAAGAGAGAGAAAGAGAGAGAGAGAGAGAGAGAGAGGACGCCCATTAAAGACAAATTACGTCATTTCGGGACAAAATTAACAAACGAGGTTTGTGAAGTCTATGGTTACATTCCAGAGCGCCAAGCCCCGAGTTCACAAAGCATTCTCAGACTTTAGTCAACTTGCAATCACTGTTTATGAGAAATATCTTTAATCCAGATGGTACGTCACTATACCGGTTCCACTGTCTATGTACAGAAATAAAATGAAATGAGATGGGTTTAACCTTTAACCTTTCTGCACCAACCGGTTTAATGTAACATTTTGGTCCTTGAGACAATTTTGGTTCTTTGCAAAATTGTTGCTTCACTCTGTCTATAGAGTCAAATCACACGTACTTAATGAACGTGAATATATAGTTATACATAAAAACATTGATATTTTGGTAAAATCATAATCATTGTCAAGATATCCATCAAATTCCGGCTGTTAATTGGCCTATGGTTGGTAGACCAAGTAAGGTAATGTCTCCTCAATTACTCGTGAGAAATAAAGAGGTTTATTCCATATATTGGATGGAAATTAACGTCAAGGTTATCGAAGACCTGCAGAAATTAGGGGGTATAAATTAGGGTGTAGAGCGAGTTGGATCAGAGCTTATTCAGAAATTCCTAACAGCCATTATTATTGAGAACGAGGAACCTTCAAAGCCATTAAAGCTTAGCAATAAAATTTTAAAACCATTGATGTTGTAGTTTTGTTACGATCACGAAGAAACAGACACAACAATAAAAGAAGTCCGATAGTACTACACTAATGAAGACGGACGTATGCCTGAAGAGACACTAGTTCTGTTTCTGACTAACATATTATGGTTTAGTTTTATTTCAATAATTCGCTTGCGCTTAGGGGTCTTTAGTTGTGGGAGGAAACCGGAGGACTCGGAGAAAACCCATGAGGTTGGACAGGCGACCCCACCCCTTGTCACGCTAATGCAGGGAATTGAAACAACGCTATTTGACTCTATGACGGACCTTATGATCTGAAGCGCACGCGTTAAACCATTCGAATTCCAACTTGTCAATGTGTTCATTCATGTGTTCGTTTTTTTGTACCATCCGATCGACTATACGTTGTTATTTCCCTGACCGTTAATCCTACACCACTGATAAGTAGGAACTACGCCGCGGCAAATCCCGATGTTCTCGTCCAAAACTAGTATCGAACACGGGACCTCTAGAATAGCGACTCAACGCCTTGCCCATAGCTTGCTCACCGAGCCACCGCGGCTCGACTGATTAATACGCCCACTAATTCATAAGCTGTGAAGAAAGATATCAGATATACGGGATGAATTACTAATTTTAATAAATCTTAAATCGGATACCCAACTCAATATGAGACTAACATTAGACTGTTAATTAAATGCGAAGCGTATTAGGTTGGGCATGATTTAAATCATGTTAAAGGGACTTCGTCCAGTGGTTAAGAAATCTATTTTGATTTTGTTTTCTCAGATAAATATTAAATAATGTGTTTGAGTACATTTTAGCGTTGCTATTTTCCGAAAAATGTAATTGACGCACATATACTTTAAATCGAAATTTCTCTGTTTACCAAGAGAGATTGATTTTAACGTTCACTCGAAATAATGTCATTATTAACATGGCTCAAATTCATTTCAGTGATTGCTCGAGGTACTCTAGAACTCCGGGATAACACCGGGGGACGCGGAGAAAACCCACGGGGTTGATCAAGCTGGGAATCAATGACATACGCTCGTATCTTATGATCTTAAGCGCATGCGTTAAACCAGTGGTTCTCAACATTTTTTTTGCCAATGGCACACCTAGGAACATATGAAAAAATAGCGACCACCCTGGCTAAATATATATGAAAAATATTGGAATTAGGCAAAATAAAAACATGGCAAGTCATAGACGGCATACATCCGTAGAAACAGACTAGTCAAAGACACATATAATGACTGGAAAAATAAAGAAAAACCCAGATATGAACTTACCAGTAGACACCAGTGAATACGCAATTGGGATCACGTGGTTTTTCGCATTTTCTTAGTGTGCTGTTCAAAATTTCGCGAGACACTTAGGAAGATCTCGCGGCACACCTGGTTGAGAATCACTGCGTTAGACTCTTCGGTCCTCAACGTATTGAATTTCGATGTGTAGAAAATGGCGTGACAAAGTCTGTATTCTAAGAATGCGGTTACCCGCATGATGGAAGTTAAATTGACACTGTCATACTAAACCAAGCTTAAAATCACATGCAAAATGATGAAACCGGTTTTCACCCGATTAGTTCACTCTTGTTATAAATTCGACCTCGACACATAAGAAGTGATATTGGGTTTTCTAGACGGAATAAGTATACACGTCCATCATCATTACCTATCACCAAATTAAGCGATCGGATCCAAGAGTTGTCAGTTTGTCTGTAGAAGGTATAGAAATGAAATGAAATGGGGTTTAACGTCCTGCTGTTCTGCTTCGATTTGGCTAATGAAGACGGACATACGCCATACAGTGTGCTATGAGGGAAATGTTGCCCGGGCAGCGGCACTGTGACCTACTCATATCGAATTCCAACTGCCAAGGGATCATTTACGTGCCGCCAATGTATACACGGGACCTCGGTTTTTCGTCTCATCCGAATGACTTGACAGCTGTCCTTGTCAGGCTCTCCGTCCTGCGCCACTAACATGGGAAAACCACGTCGGAAAATCCCGATGAACCTTCTCGGCCAATGCCGGTATCAAACACGGACCTCCAGGCTAGCGAGCCAGCGTCTTACCCACTTAGCCACCGTGGCTCTAGTAGAAGGTATAGAGAAAAGGGAAAAACAAGGAAAAACCGTAACAGCTATGTGAACTCTTCAAAATGAAGCATCATAACGTATAACCAAATTAAGCGATTGAACTCCCGAATTTACAGTTTGTAGAAGGTTTAGAAGAAGAAACAAAACACCAAAAGAACAAAAATGAAAGCTTTGTGAACACGTCAAATGAGAAGTTTCATTAGGTATTCTAGACTGAATACGAATTCACGAACACCCATTATCAAAACGTATAACCAAATTAAGCGATTGAACTCCCGAATTTACAGTTTGTAGAAGGTTTAGAAGAAGAAACAAAACACCAAAAGAACAAAAATGAAAGCTTTGTGAACACGTCAAATGAGAAGTTTCATTAGGTATTCTAGACTGAATACGAATTCACGAACACCCATTATCAACGACTTAAGCAATCGGTTTACTGAAAAATAAATTAAATTTAAAGAAGGTAGTATTTGTTAATGACACCAACATAGACATGGATATTGGCCAGATCTGAGTTCCAAAGTCATTGCAGAACCAAGTTCATCGGGATTTTCTAGTGTCGTTCCCTCTATCAGAGGTACAGGACAGAGGTCCTGGGAATGGACAACGTATAATCGTTCGGATGGGACGTAAAACCGAGGTCTCGGGTACACATCGACATGCACGCAAAAGATCCCTTAGCAGTTGGAAGTCTATATAAGAATAGGGCGCTGTAGGGCAAACTTTCCCCTCATAGCACATTGCATGGCGTATTCCAGTCTTTATTAACCCAGTCAGAGCAAAACAGTAGGACGTTAAACTCCATTTCATTTCATCAAATAACCTAATTGGCGATCACTGAGGATAAGGGACGTTTTACGATAGAGTAATAAATTATCTAAGATTTCCGTCCATTATTCGTTTCGTTTAGCCACAATAAACCCATTATGAAAACACGAAGCGACCAGGAAACAATTTAATAAAATATTTATGTAACCATTAATCAAAGAATGATTTGACTGTGTAGACAGTCGATATTAAATCCGTTAAAAGTGTGTATTACACTCCGTAATGCTAAACCCCTGTGTATATATATATACAGATACACACATATATATAATACAAGATCATCCCTTTCATATATACATATATATAAACTAGACAATATACAGATATATATATATAGATAGAGATAGCTTACCGAGTTATCCATCTACGACGATATTTATCACATATGGCTGTGCCGATCCCAAATTGAACAACAAACAGACCCGACGTAACATCGTCATTTTATGAATGCCAAACTCTCACTTCTTGACGCTCATTGTCACATTCTAACCTGCTGCTCGCTCGCACCGTTGTTCGTTCACAGCGCGTGCGCCACTCATTCTTACGAGTATTATAAACGTTAAACGATGAATCTGGGAGTTAAGGTCAGTGAGTTTCAGCTCGACAGCCAGATCGATCGATATAATGACATTTTATTTGTACTGATGACAGTGAAAGTATTTCACATCATTTCGCGGTCGACCATTATTAGTATACAGCGTATTCTACCCATTGACACAGTTCCTGTTGTCATCTAAATCCTACTGTTGTATAATAAATATAATGTATATTTTATTCGCATGACTGGGCAGGGAACTTGTAGCATCTGGATAGGGAACTCGCAGCCTACCAAGAACACCCGACCCCACTTCTCATTAGAGTTCTACCCACTGACACAGTTCGCATTTAAAATCTACTGTCGTAGAATATATAAGGCAATATATGCTATTCGGGTGACTGGGCGGTGAACTCTCTGTATGCCTGGAGCACCCGATCACACTTCTGATTAGAGGCGTATATATAGCTGCAAAGAGTTATCTTTCTGACTCTAATGCTATTGTAGGGCATAGGGTATCGGCTATGACTGGATAGGGAATTCTTCGTCCTTCTAGAAGGTCTGGAGTACATATATAGCTAGACAGCGTACTACCTACTGGCACTTTTATTAGCTACTAGCAGGATACCCGGCTTCGATCGGGGGTCATAACTCCGAAACCGGAAGAGGTAGACTAACGCCACCTGGCCTATGTTACTCCCCGGTCCGAGCTACCCCTATACCCCAAATTTCAGACTCGGGGCAGACCTAGTGTAGCCGCCAACGCCGCTTCGCTCGGGGGACATAGCTCCGAAACCGGAAGTGGTAGACTAACGCCACCTGGCCTATGTTACTCCCCGGTCCGAGCTACCTCTATACCCCAAATTTCAGACTCGGGACAGACCTAGTGTAGCCGCCAATCAGGAACAGACAGACAGACAAACGACAGTCACAAATATTAGTATAGATATAGTACTGTACTATAATATAATGCTACTGTCGCAGAAGACCGGACAGTGGCTCACAAACCAGAAGGTTGCGGGTTCCAACCCGGTTTTAGTCGAGAAATTTCCCCCTTATTTCCCAGGGTAACCTTGTGCAGGACGAAGGGCCTGGTGAGAGACAGCGTCTAGTCGCTCAGGTGGAACGAAAAACCGAGTTCCCGTGTGATCGTTGGCGTGCACGTAAAATAACCCTGGGTAGTCTGAATTTGAATAAGAGTCAGTGGAAACTTCACTGTCTGCCTAACAAGTTATGCTCATCCTTTTTATCTCGGTTGGTGCAGAAAATCTGCTGGTTACCAGGCGTTACACAGGTAGAGGCCTCCGAAGCTTCCTTATAGAAGTTCGCTCGACTCCATCATCCTGATTGATGCAGAAAACCAGCTAGTTACCTGGAGTTACACTCGTGAAGTCCTCCGACGCTTCCGTATAAAACGTTTCGTGAAAGCGGAAGTAGTACAACCCCCAAGCCGAAAGTGGTAGACTCGCCATCTTAATTTCGCTGACTGATATAAATATATACACGTGGAATTGCTAGCCTTAATTAGTGCGCACGTGTTTAGAACAAAGTGTATAGTTGAAAAGCCGATATGATATATTATCAAAATCAGATGGGGGTCAGTAAGTTCTATGCACCTATATGATCGTTCAATTTGATGAAAGCTATAGAGCACTTTGTCACACTGACTGATGTTTGGTGTTATTAGTGCGGATAGAAAGAAAAACCCGTGGGGAAAATGAATCGCTTCTCACAGTAAAATCCACGTGTCAATCCCGACTCGAGTCGCCCTTTATACCAAAATTCCAACCTCGGAGCAGCCGCCAAACCCTCAACAGACAAACGACAGTGACATGTAATAATTTACATAGACATACACACTAATTATGCTGGACTGTGGTTATAGCTCTAGAATTAGGCTCTTTTGGGTAAAAGCTTCACAGAGAGTCATTTACGAGGGAAATTTCATCGAATTCCGACAGTTTAAGATACCTTTACGTACTTGTGTACATGGGATCTCCGTTGACCGTCCCACCCGAACGACTAGATACCGTGCCGTGTCATAGACTGGAAGCCATCTCTATGCGATGCTCTATTTTAAGCATTCGTTCTCCTTAGTTACAAAACCGAAAAAAAGCCCCCATAGATAGCCCACCCCCAAATATGAGAACCACCACGGAAACAATCTTCATTCTAACGTTTAGGCAATCATCTTAAAAGCTATATTTTATTTGCAATATATTATTAATGGTTTATCCGCATGGATAATGAAAATGCATAAAGCTATGAATTCTCTCAGCTCGTATTTCATTGTTATTTATAGATAGTATACATATGTGTATTAGTTAGTAGTATGTATCGTATACGCCAACGCGAATGACTGAATAATTATGTACAGTATTGAAAAAAATGATATAGGCAGGTGCACTGGATGTTCGTTCAATTGTAGCCGCGGTGGATCACCAATCAGGAGGTCTCATTTTCATTTCCTGGTTTTGTTCGAGAAGGCTCTTATGGATTTTCCTGCACGGTTTACACTTTCCAGTGATGCACAACGCAGGACTTGACAGGGACGGTGTCGTTTTGTTCGAATGGTCCACAAAATATCCCTTGACAGCTAGAATTCGAAACAAGCTACATAAAACTATATATATTATCATAAAACTTGTAGAATAAGCCCTATATTTCCCCGTCATAAAACGAGCAGATTCTAATTCCCCGTCATAAAACTAGAAGCATCTACACCCTCCCCACCCCACCCCCACGTCATGAAACTAGAAACACCTGTTTCCCAACCACAACAGACAAAAGAGATGCGTTTATTAGGTTAACATCTCTCTATAACTCATTATACCGACATATTATGGATAAATGACCGCGTTATTATGTAAGCATATAACAGGCAATATTGATATTAGTCTAATGGCTTACAAAATATATAAATATTAACTCTCTTTGTTTCCATAGGTTATATACATGACAATGGAAATGAAACGGGACATCAATTAGCAAACTTGATCTGTAAACACACTGATGTATGTTCTTGGCTCACTGCAGCTGGGTTTCCAATCCAATTACCCCTTTCAGTTGTAGAGGTCGGAGGGTCCTGCAAGGAAGAGCGTGGAATCCTTCTGATGGGCTGCAAAGCAAATGTCCAGTGTACACGTTGTACTTTTTAGCAACAACTTGCTTAATGACGTCCCCATACGCCTTTAAATATGCTATGGGGACAATTTGGTAGGACAGCATGGTTTTTACCTATTCTTCAAATAGGGGCTTGTTTTCTCCTCCCAACCTATAGGCTAAACACTGTTCTTCAGACAGGACTTTACCCCGCATCATTGATAAAAGAGTAAATATATCTGCCAAAACCGGGACCGAACACTTGGCCTTCTGATTAATGGGCAAGGTCATTCCTCAAAGAGCTACTGTCGCTCTCAAACTGAACGCGGGGAGGCATGTACCTAACACCACGATGTTGCACAAAATATACAAAAGATAAATTTTATGTATTCAGAGAAATGACCAGTTAATGATGCATTATGTAAGAGCTAAATCTGTCTATTGCAGACTTTACTTATTATCGTAGCAATGGTACTTGACAATCGAGACTACCCTGACAAACCTTCAAATACTCATAACTGAGCTCAGTTTAAAGCAGGTTCAGGTTTGAATGAAATTTCAAAACCATTTCTCGTTATCTAGAGAAAAAGATAGAGAGAGACAGAGGACAGATGGTTGGGGGGGGGGGGGGTGAAAAGCCTGAGAAAACCAATGAGGTTGGACAGGCGACCCTACCCCTTGTCATACAAAAACTGGGAATCGAAACGACACTTGATTCAATGACAGACCTTATGAACTACAGCAAACGCGTTAGATTATTCAGCCAACCAAACCCCGCATGGTATAACCCCCCCCCCCCTTATCTTTATAACCACAAGAGGCCAATACATTTCAGTCATGACTAATGCCAATTATCTAGGTTTCTGTTACGTGTCCGCTTACATGTACACTATTCCTTGCTAGACCGCTCATCCTGCAACACTGGTATGGGGAAAGAGAGAGAGAGTGTGTGAGAAAAATGGGGTTTAACATCCACTCGGCACAAACTAGGTCATTTCGGGTCTAACACATTGTTCAATTTTATTTCAATAAATCGCTTGCGCGTAGGGGTCTTTAGCAGTGGGAGGAAACCGGAGGACCTGGAGAAAACCCATGAGGTTGGACAGGCGACACTACCAACCTGGTCACGTACAAGCGAGATCGAAACCCGGATGTCAAGGTTAGGGATCCAACACCTTACACACTGAGCAACCGAGGCTCTTGAAATCAATGCGTTACTAACTGGAGGTATACGCCCACTTCTAACTGGAATCATATCGCATATAGGAAATCACTGTTGTATAAGCCGTTCTAGAATGATCTTTTTACTAATACGGTTTTAACATTCGTTCCAGCTTTAATAATTAATTTTTATTATTTCATTCTTTCATTCAGTTGAAACGCATAAAGCTATCTATTACTATAGTGTAATAATCAGTGCTTTGTATACGATGTTTGTAAAATTGATATTATTATTTATAAGAGTAACATGATCTGTTATATTATGTTATGTGTATTTTATCACATAACATAACATAACACATTCTACAGTAGATAATGCTTGTGTGATAGAATTAATTTCATAATCTACTGGTCAATAAAAAGGAACTAAATTATTTATTTTCAGAACACAATTCAGTAACTTTCTTTTTATTAAAAAGGAACTACGTCAATATAGAGGACTTTGCAATGGTTGAATTGCTGTCAAAAACGATGTATCACTACGCCGTGAAGTAACAAGGTTCATTAAAAGTGGCATCTATAGTAAAGAATTATATTTATTTATTTGTGCATGTAAGAAAGGATTGGGTGATAAATAAAATCTCCTACTCAGTTTCTTTTATATCAAAAAAAGACTCGTCTGAGATTCTCTATATGT